ATGGCGGCGGCGACACCGCTTGGGAGGGGAGAAGGGGCGGGAATACGAGGAGGGTGGGACGTACCATCCCCACCCCGGGGAAGAGAGGAGGAACACACCAAGGGGAAAAGGAAGTCCTGCTGGGAACACCAAGGAACGCCCCCTCGCCCCACCCAAGCGTGGATCTTCCCACTCCCCTGGGCCTAGGGTGCGCTGTACCCGCGGGGCACGCCCCTTTCCCCCAGGGCCAATGAAAAGAGCCGGTCGAGATCCCTTAGTTTTATGAATGGGTCCCGCACCCACCCATCCGCTGGCTGGCCTTCTCCCGCCAAAGGGTCCAGTTAAGAGACCGCTGGCACCTTAAGACACCTGTCCTACAGCAGAGTCTTAATCGTCTTATTCTCTGGCTCGCTTCATGAAATCTTTGAATAAACTGGCCCACGTTTTGTTACATAATTCCTCTAGGACCAGGTATCTCCAGACATTCGACACAAATAATGGTGTTCTGTATAGAAATTCGTAAGTTCGGTTCTTGGCACGTGGTCGCTCTTTAAACAGTTACAAAAATAAATGTAGCCTTTATTACCAAGTAATATAAGACATAATTAACCCTAGCATAGGGGAGCAGAATGAGGTGATAAAATGAATAACAACTGTGTATTACTTTCTCTCTGGGGAAAGGCTGGGTTTTAAGTATGACAGTGCCTGGCATCATAAGTGCTCAAAAATATAAATCCAGATTCGTTTTAAGCAGAATAAAGAATTAGCAGAAAAGGAATTAGGCTTGCTAACTGTGGGTCAAGAGTGGCTAGGAGTTCATAAGTCAAATGAGGGCTTCTGGTAAAAGAATAGAAAAGAGAAAGAAGTAAAGACAGGAGATTGGCCCCATCAGTTTTAGATTTTTTTAAAATATCCGACTAAAAACAGTAGCAAACAACTGTAAATCTAGAACTGTAGTAAGATTACAACATGATAAAAGGGAAGCCATGAAATAACAGCTTCCATTTTATTTTTTTAAACCAGGGAACATACTGGAAATTTGTTCCTGACTCAAATCATTTGACTTCATTGCTGCACTGCCCACATCAAAGACTCTAAGCAATGTGAAAGGATAGATATCCTAGATCTTATCAATAAACCGAGACCCCTCCTAAACTAGCTGGATTCACAGACAGAAAAAAAACCATCACTGCCTTATTCTATTACTCAATAACAAGATACAATGTGGTTCCATTACATAATAAAGTCACTTACCAAACAAGATCTTCTCACAAAGCTTACTTTTTTAAAAAGCATGTAAAAATTATACATTTGTACATATACACACTATACTTTTACAGTCTGATAGTCCAATGGTTCAACCGTTAATTTAGGGATTTTTTTTTATGGTTTCCCCTTCCAGATTCTTTGTCACTCCCTTGGCTCTACCCTAACATGACATCATTCTATCACACATCTACTAAATCAAGTAAATGTTCATTTATCCCAGTAAGCACAATCTATCTGGTGACTCTGGAGAGCAAGATTTCTAAAAAGGTCTGGTGTATACTGAGGCAATGGGATAGGTCTGTTCACACAGGTAGGAAGGAAGTGGCATAAGAAGAATCACGACCACAGGGAACAGCCTTCCAGAGCAGGAGTGCTCACACCTAGTGGTCCAGTGTTCACCCATTAAAAAACAATCAAAACCTACTCTGCACCCAGCAGAAGTTACTGAGAGTCCCATAAAGCAAGTCACACTGGTTCTCAAAGGAAGTAGCTATTCAAGGAATCGATGGAGGAGAGTCACTTTGAACAGTGGTGGTTTGACATTTGTGGAAGAAGTCACTTGAACTCTTACAAAGAGAATTTTTAAGGAGCTGCGCTTCCCTGGAAAATTCAGGAAAACCAGCAAGAGAGAGGATGGTTTTCATCTTTTCATAAAGTTCTTCTCCAAAGCTACTGAAGTTCTCTGTAGAGAGTAGATATTCCGCTTCACCCGATCCTCTAGGGAGGAGGTAGATGCGCTCTCTAGCTTCATGCGGCTAGGGAGAGAACACAGGAGAATGTAACAATCATGTCAATTGGTCAACTCTCTAGCAGAATTAGAAAAAACAGGTTGCTAGCCACAAAGCAGCTGTAGAAACACAAGCTCTTTTAAACCCGCATAGATAACTTTGAGTGATTCCATCTGGAATTCAATTTTTTAAAACAGTTCCATAAGGGAAAATTTATTTGTTTTGGAAAATAAGTCAAAGCCTCATTGGAAAAAGGGTTCTTGAGCCATGAATTCTTATTTTAAAAAAAGGCCAAGGAGATTTAATTAAAAATACCAATTTACTTCTCCTCCCCTCAAATCAAAAACATCCCACTGTCTGGCCAGAAGCTGGGAGTAGTGACAAAGGTGGTCTGGAGGCTGAGCTCCCATGTTCTCCCTGTGCAGACACAGAAACACTGGGAACAAAATGAATGAATCAGATGCCCAACTGCCTCCTTGGGATCATTGCCATGAAAGCTGTTAGGCAGAAAGAAGATGCACTCACTGGATAAACTTCCCGTCCCGGGAATCCAGCTTCTCCAGCCTCTGCTCCCGTTCATCATCTTTAGCATGCCTCTTGAGGATGTTCAGTCTCTCTTCCTCCCGCCACTTGGCGTTTTCCATCATCTCTTGCCGTTTTCGCTCTAATTCCTCTGATGAGAGCTTTCTGTTGAATACAAAAACCATCCTATCAGGTCTGCTCCTCTCCCAGCAAAAAAAAAAAAAAAAAGAAAGAAAATAGAACCACCTCAGGGAGAACAGATATCAGGTAGGACCTCAGTTCTCCAGCTCACTGCTCTCTTTCCACGGATATGCCCAGCCCAGTGCCAAATTCAGTACGAGTTTCTTTCCTTCCTAACATCTTGGTCTGGTGGTGTCATCCAAATTTCAAAGACTTTTAATGAACGATTCCATACTCTCACTCAATAATCTCTGGAGTGATCATTTTGAAACATTATAAAATATTCCAGTTGCTTGCTCAACAACTTATAGAAGAACAGAGGACTAAGTTATCTGTGTGACTGCTACCATCTACCCACTGGAGATGCTTAGAAATGCATAGATATAGCCCATAAGCATACCACTTTAGGACCAAGCTAGAAACCAGATCCCTGAAGAATTCAACTTAACCTCGGAAAATAATAGGTGGGTCTTCTTTCCTCACTGCAAATGAAATTAGAGCAAGAAAAGGAGGTGATGAACCAATTCGATCACTATTTAATAATGTCAGACATCCAAATCCATTGCTTATCAAATGAATATGATGTACAGATCCTCCTCTAACAGGAAAAATAATTATCGGAGTCCAATTTTGAGAAACAAACTTAAGATACTAAGACTTGACATTACTTATAGTGAAATGACATGCTCCCTTTCCAAAGTCCCACTAAATGAAATATGTAAAACCACAAAGAGAAAGGGAGAGAAGATAATACTGGTTAGAGATGTCAACAAATTGGATAACGGAAGTGGATGACAAACGGTGAACTACTTTAACAAGCTGGAGGAAACTGAATCCTAAGTGCCCCATACTAACCAGAAACAAAATCCGGGCAAAGACCAGAAACTGCAGGCCCCAAATACTTTGGAGAATGGCAGTGAGGCATAGGGCTGAAAATAAAAGGACTAAAGTCTGTAAAAGAAGCAATTAAGACACTGCTGGGTCCTCATGCCTAACTTGGGGAAGCCAGTGACTACTCTCGCAAACGTCTACAGGAGACCTTCCAGAGGGAAGACCCTCCCGATTGTTTCTAGGGAACTAAACCAGACAGGAGATCAGCTAAAAACCAGTTCAAACCTAATCTCCCATCGGTAGACAAGCCTGCCCATACCCAATACAGTAATTTCAGCTTTTTAGTGCCTTACTCCTAAATATGACTAGACAGTGAAATTATCACCAAACATTTCAGTAAAGGCTCTAACATGAAAGATAGAGACCAATGCAAAAAAGGGAACTTAAAAGATGAAGCACAAAACAAAAATTTTATATATTTACAGTGAAAATCTCACTCTGACATAAGTGAAAGGTATTACATCATTGAAATGAGAAATACGAGACTTTTTTGAAGAACAATCAGAACACAAACGAGCTCTTAGAAATTAGGGAGAACAAAGAAATTATTTAAGAAACAACACCATAATTCCCAAAACTGAAAGCCATCATAGGTCAGACTGAAAGAGGCAAATATTGACCCTAGAAAATATGTAAAGAAAGGAAGTGTAACCTTGGTATTCTGCTTGGCAGTGAAAAGTATCAGTGAATAATATTTACATAACATAGTAACACGAATCCGCATACTGATTAAACCAAAAATTGTGATATAATAGAAAGATGAGGGAAAAAAAACATGGGACTGAGAGTGTATAAGAGCGCATTTACTCTAAGGCCACATTTACTCATTTACTCTAACAATAAGAAAATATCTAAAACTGATGAATTAAGAGATGGCAACATAAGTATATTTTTAGAAAAAGATAGCTGCAAAAGGAACCGCAAAAAGCTGAAAGTGGTTGCCATAGGTAGCATGACTAGAGTGAGGTCAGGCAGGGCAAGGAAGTGGTGGTTTTTGTTATAAGACTTTTAATGCTTTCTGACTTTCATCTACGGCCATGCCACCCTGAACGTGCCTGACTGCTTCTGATCTCAGAAGCTAAGCCAAGCCTGATTAGTACTTGGATGGGAGACCACCTAGGAATACCAGGTGCTGTAGGTGCAAAAAATAAGTAAATAAATAATACTTTCATTTTTAAAAAAAATAAGCCAAACAGAAAAAGCTGAAAATCACGTATCACTTAAATATGGGATACAAGCCTAAAAGCAACAAATGAACAGGACAAACAGAGACTCATGGACATGAACAATGGACTAGCGGTTACCAGAGGGTAGTGAGGAGGGAAGAGGGGGAAGGTAGATGCGGAAAAAATTTAAATTATTTCTTCAATTAAAATAATTAATTAAATAAAATTTTTAAAAAATTGTACCTCTATAATGTAATTAATGCAAGAAATAATAACTCCATTTTCTGTTTCTTATTGCCACTTTTGTTCTGGGCAATTTACAACCCTAACTGAAGGAATTTTAGTCACTTCTGGGGTGTGACCTTATAGTGGTGTTTTCTGTTTGTTTTGAGCATACATATTTTTTAAATTATAAAAGTATTGTGTTGCCTGTATGAAATTTAGAAAGCACTGAAAGTAATGGAAAATAGTATAAATTAAATGGAAATCTCACAAGACTCCAAAAAATTTTTAAGAGAAAAAGTCTTAGTCTATGTAAAAATTGTTTTAGATTGAGAATCTCACTGCAAAAGAAAAACATCATTTCAGTTGGTAAAATTGTTTCAGATCACCAGTTAAAAGAAAACATACACACAAAAGAAAACACCAAAATTTAAAAATTCTCACAGAACTCTCAAGTCCTTGAGGAACTATCCAGTGTCTTTCAATCTGAGAAACACTGATTAAATAGTGCTAAGAAAGGTTTTACGGCCATAATTATTCTTTTTCTGTCTTAATTAGCATCATTTTAGCTACATAAAACAACCTCACTTACCTGGAACACCAAAACAAAATAAAGAGATATCACAAAATGCATACATCAAAGTTTCTGTGTTTTCATCCCTGGAAAAGAGAGGTCTTGAAGGCTCTAACTCATTTTAAATCACAAAATTCAACAAAAATCCAAGGGCAATAAGACTGACAAAGCAAGGCAAATTCAAGTGATGGCAGATGGCAAGAGAGACAAAATCAAAGCAGGATCTGAGAAAGCATGCTCATTTGCTGACCAAAAACCTTGAAATATATTAAAAAATACACACACTCATGAGCATCCATCCCTAAAACCAGTACGAATTACAGCACAGCTGAAGAACTGACCCAGTGTCACCAATAAAAGATTAAATTATGCGTAATAGGATCTGTCTGGGAAGACAGAGAAATATGTTAACATATTTTGGAAAACTGCCAGTCAAATTTAAACCTTTTAAAAAAGTTTCTGTTCCCTGGAAACTTAAGGAATCAGGCAATTAAGAGTTAAAAGGGACCTTAGAGTATGCCGCTCCTCGAACAACATAGTGAATACAAGAGGTTGTACACTCTCAGCGGTTTTCAATGTTAGCTACACATTAGAATCACTGGAGAACTTTAAAAGTCCTGATGTCTGTGGGGTGGCTCCATAATGTAGTGGTTAGCACATCAGCTTTACACACAGAAGGTCCTGGGTTTGCGCCCCAGGTGGAGCCAGGGACCATACACCGGGGGCGCCAGGCTCCAGGCCCCGGGTGCATACTGCGAGCACATGGGAGGAGACGCCCCACCTTTGGAGATTCAGTTCTTAAGCAGAGACAGCACCATCCGTAGGTCAGGAGTAGAAGTGGGGTGGGGGGGTTATTAAAAAGGGGGAATAAAAAGTACTGATGTCTGGGCCCACCCCCAGAGATTACGATGTAACAGGGCTGGGGTATAGCCAAGTAACGGAATTTTTTCTTTTTAAAGCTTCCCAGGTGAATCTAATGTGCAGCCAATGTATTTGGGCAGTAAAAGGAAGTTCACAAAAATTGCCCATCTCACCTAAACTTCTGCTAAGAGCAACCAAGACCAATAGAAACAGCCTTTCATGAGCACATCCTCAGGTGCCAGGACCCACTCCACATCCAACTCAAACACAGAGTCCATCTTAGGGTGTCTGCCTTCAAGGAAAGCACTCTGCTTCTCTTTCAGTTGATGCTTCAAGAAAGGAATACTCTCTCAAGAAAAGCTTCTCTGGGAAATATCAATGAGAATTAACATGTTTACAGATATTAAGAGACAGTCGATTCATTGTTCATTAAGTCAAAACTACTTACTTTGCCCTTTCAATGTATCTTGCATGGTGGGGAGGCAGGGCAGACTACTAAAAGTTGACAAGAAGAATAAAAAAGCTCATTGGGCAAAAAGCTGATACAGATTGTCCACTTGGTTTGAGCCACTCTTAGACTCAGGCCTGCAGAGTTTGACTCACCTGGTGTATCCAGGTGCGTGCCGCCTTTGGTAGACCTCTTTTTTAGGTGATGGGCTCTTAGTTTGGCCTCTCTCTCTCCTGTTTACCTTAGAGTTGTGCCTGTAACACACACAGAAGGCAGAGAGAAGAAAAGTTTTTACTATATAGGGGCTTTTATCATGTCCTTCAAACAGTGGAAGAAAAACTGTCTTAGAATTACAATCCAAATTGAAGAGAATAGAGGACAGATGTGGAAGAGAAACAAAGGCATAAAGATATATAACATCTGATACTAAACTCACTCAAGAGATTCCATACATATAAACATGTAGTTCTAGGTGCCTGAGCTTTACATTGAGGTTGGGAAAAAAATGATATAAAGGCAATAACAAAGTAAAGACATTTGGAAAAATTAATGAACGGACATCACCAAAAGCAAATACTTGCTATGACCAAGCCCACACAGGCACAGATAATTTCCCAGTGAATTCTCATACTCACAGTTTGCTTGGCCTTGGGGACCGTGACCTTCTGCCCAGGGATCGAGACCTCCTGTCCAGGGACCCTGCTTCTCTGGTGCTCTTCTTGCTGGCATGTCTGGGAGGTGAGTGGGAAGAGCTTCTGGACCTGGAGCGATTCTTCCACCCATGCACTCCCTTTGGCTCAGTCATCAGAGGACCCTGCAGTCCCTGGCTACGGTCAGAGTCTCTTATCTGTATCATCAAGGAAAGAAAGAAAGCCTATTCTTAGGAAAATCCAGTAGTTCAAGAGAAAATGCAGTGAAATGAGAAAACGAATGAGCACTGAGGTTCTGTAAGGAGCCAACTGTATAACTCGATCACAAAGAACCATATAAATTTAGGAAAGTTATCTTCAGAATTCCCTAAAAGAATGTACTCACCCAACCACCTAAACTGGCTTGGCTCTTCACTACAGCCTAAGGAAGAGCAAGAGCCAGAGCATACAGGACAGGACCTAAGGTTAAACTTACTGAGAGAAAAGAAGGAAGCCAGTACATTTGTCTAAAGTCATCAATCTTTACATTTAAATGTATACATTTCATGAAAACTATTTGCAGAGGGATGGGCGGAATGCCTAAGTGTTCCATTGGTGGTTTAGCCTGTTTGCTTAGAGGCCCCTCAGCCAGTCAGAGGCTCAGGGATAAGGAATGGGCTTGTTTCCCAGGAGCCCCTGTCTTTGCTGCCCAAACTCCCTTCTTCCCATATGATGTTTAACTGGTTGCTAAAAATGCTCTGCGTCGAAAGGGCTGCCAAGTTGACACACTCCACAGTCCCATAACCGCTCCCTTTGAGCCCCCATTCTTACCTGTAAGCCATATCCAGGAACTTTGGACAAAACAGAGGAAGAATTTGCCATCTTCTTTTGAGATCTATGAGATAAAAACACACATTCATTGTAAAAGAAACCGCATAAATGTCCAGTTTAAATCTCTTGTGCTGAAACTTGTTTCCTCCTTCAAACACGACCTTTCCCACCTCCTAGTTATTACTTGGGAGTGTGTCTCTCTATTTGGACTGTCATTGCTGGAAGATGCATCAGCACAGTTATGTTTTTCCTGTGAAAAACCGTGGGCCTAGCTTTTCAGCCCCAACGCCTGAATACATTCTCCTCTCACCTCGTGCTGCTATTCCAGGGACTAAGAGTGAGTCAGCAGTGACAATGCTGACAACTCCCACAGAGAAGACACAGAATGGGCCCACATGAGCCCATTAATGCATTTTTTTTTAAAACCTATATAAAACTCACTTTAGTCTTAGAGGAATCACAAACTGAGATGAAGTCATAACCAGGATGTCTGACTAAAGACCTACAAGGCTACAGTCAGCTCTGTTATGGGGTCATGCCAAGATCTCCAAGGAACTCTGGTGCTAGATGGCACTCTGTGGGTACAGGGCCCATGTCTGAGTTCATTACTTAAACCCCAATACCTCCCAGCATAGAGCAGGCGTTCAGTTAGTGTCTGTGGAATGAATGAGTGAATGAACCAATGATGAGGGAGGCCTGCCTCCACGTGCTCACCTCCCCCGGCTGCGCTCATCCTCACTGCTGCAACGATCACTACTTGAGCTCCTGTGCTTATGTTTCTTGTGCTTCTTTTTCTTCTCCTTCTTTTTCTTCTTCTCCTTTTTTTCCAGACTCAGTTGCAACTAGAAAATGCCCAGAACATAACCACACAAGATTACTGAGACCCCTGTCAGTCCTTCTGAGAGGACTGGGTTGTGCACGAACTACCTGATTCCAAGCCTCTGAGTCTTGGTGGGGCCAGGACATTATCAGAGTTTCTCTGTCAGCAACAGAGGGAGGGTCTTAACCCTGGTTATGCATAAATGCTCCCTAGACTAGTGAACAGAATCTCTGGTGGGTGAGGCTTGTACTTTTAAACAGTCCTTGGAAGCACTGCCTAGGTGTTTCCATCTGTCAAAAGAACTCCGACTCCACTGAAAGCAATCAGGGACTGCAAAATCAATCTTTAAATTTTCCTTACCAACTGATCCAAGAAACAATCACATAATATGTCATGTGAATGGTGAATGGGCCCTGGAGGCTCTACCACTTCATCTCCTAAACACGATGTATAATCATGCTTTCCATAGGCATATCCTATACCCCTCTTTTTCTAGAAGAAAATGGCATCGCATGGTGCTTTTCCAACCAAAAAACATAAAAGAGAAAATCAAACTTAATTAAGCTTGATAAATTAATACTGTATAAAATCACTAGGAAAAGTTCTCTAAAAGACAAAATTTTAAAATCATTCTATTTTCCCTCTTGAAGGTAAGAGTGAATGGAGAGTTCTCATGCTAAGTAGCTAAAAGATCAATCCTTATTTGATGCGTTACTTACCAATTCTTTGATTTTCTTCATTTTCACAGGATTATTCAATACCTCTCTTTTTTTCTCCTCTTCTTTCTTCCTGAAGAAAGGGAATTGTAAAAATCATGACTATTTCTTTTGGAAAGTAGATTAAGTCATTCATTCTACTCTCCACAATTCTATGTAGCAATCTTTTAGTGAAATGCATCCAGATAGGCCCTATGCTGAAATCTACATGGTGGTGCGGAAGCCAGAAATCTTCCCCATGTCTGCATAAGGGACTGAATGCAGTGGGGAAAGTCCACACTGGTTCTCTGTGGTGCAAGAAAGTGAGTTTGGTCTTCTTGTTAGGCTTCATGCTCAGGGCTCCCCAACTGATCAAGTCAATGGCTGTCATTTGTGTCAGCTGGTTGCTGTGTATCAACTGGTTGCAACATTCCAATACTACTTCCACTGGCAGCATGTTAACCACCTGGGAAATAAAGAGAATGGATTCCTCTTTCAAGAAGTCTCACTCTGTTAGATTGTTCATAGGCGGATAAATTGGTCAACCTTCCTGGAGGACAGTTTGGTAACACTTATCACAGCCTGCACATACTCTTTGGCCTCACAAATACTGTAAGGAAATAATCAAGGAAGGTCACTATAAAGGTGTTTGTATTATAACAACGAAAATTTGGAAACAAGTTAGGGACCCAACGAGAGAGTATTCAAAGAATAAATTACAGCATATCCATATAAAATAGAGATAAAAATGATGTTATAGAAGCATAGTTAGTGACATAGAAAGATAACTTGTTTCCAAATTTTCGTTGTTATAATACAAACACCTTTATAGTGACCTTCCTATGATTAGGTGAAAAAAAAGTAGACTATAAAAAAAGTCACAATATTAATACACCAATGTTCAGAGCAGCATTATTCACAACAGCCAAAAGGTGAAAATAAGCCAAATGTCCATCCACAGGTAAATGGATAAACAAAATGCATACAATGAGATATTATTCAGTCTGAAAAAGAAGGAAATTCTGACAACATGGATGAAACTTGAAGACATTATGCTAAGTGAAACAGTCACAAAAAGTCAAGTATTATAAAATTTCACTTATATGAAGAGATAGATGGTGGTGATGGTTGCATAATAATATGAATGTACTTAATGCCACTGAACGTAGACTTAAAAGTGGTTAAAATGGTAAATACTATCTTATGTATATCTTACAATTAAGAAGCTAACAAAATGGAAGAAAATATTTGCATATACAAACTGTATAATATCTTTCCATATACATATGTAATATCTTTAATATACAACTTTAAAAGAATTTTCAAAAGAAAAAATATAAACAAATAAATATTTTTCAATGTTCAACCTTACACGCTTGAAATAAAACATTGCAAATTAAAATCCCCCAAAATAATATGCACACCATGATCTCATTTAGTGTCCAAATGCAGCTCTACTCTGATTTGTTACATATTAGGGTTTCAAGTAAGAGTCTAAATTTTTAAAGGGTTCTGCTGCAAAAAAGGGGGAGATGGGGAAAGAAGGCCTGTTCACCCACCTAACCAACTCTACACATATCCCCAAATTTCCAAGAAGCTGTCAGCCTTTCTCACCTTGCTCCTACCTCTTATTTTTTTTTAAAGGTCAACAATAAATGAATAAATTTGGTCTGGCCTAGTCTGGTCTAGTCCATTTGCCAATTTCCCAGATGGCCTAGATCAGGCACCCTTAATGGGGCCTCCTTCCCAACATCATGAAGCCCAAATAGAGACAAATCCTTTCACATGACAGAGAAAGCTAAGAGAAAACCAACTGTGAAGTGAGAGGCCATATAACATCTTCTACTAAGCATCTCTGTAACAAAACCCACTTCCCAGTCCCTCATCCAGTACCTGATGATGAAAAGTGGGTCCTCCCGAATTTTGCTGGCCATGTCAAGAAGGGAATTGGCACCTGATGGGGCAAAGATAGAGCCTGGGAGGAGTCCTGTCTCTGAAGAACAGCCCACCTCTTTCTCTTCCATCTTCTCAAAAACATATTTGTCAATGGGGCGCCCCAGCAAGTATTCATCACGATTTACCATCCCACCAGGACCCTGGTACATCCAGTCCAATTTTTCTTCTTTTTTCCTGGTTCAATGGAAAAAAAATGTTATCGAAGAGAATGTAGATGCCTGCAAACCTACACACAAAACCTGAACATGAGGAATAGATAACTGCAGCGGGTTAGAACAAGACCCATTCTATAGGCACCTACCATAGGCTAAACATGGTACTACTCCACATGGCACACAGGAAGAAATGGTGCCTGCCAGCATGGAGCTTACCACTTAGAGGAGAGATCATTTCCACATAAATAAACCAGTTTTTGAGGAAAAACAGTGTTCCTCAACCTGTGGCATGGATCTTTGCCCAGGGCTCCTCAAGTCTCCTCTACAAAGTCTTTATATTATGCTTTCATTTCGAGGATAATCTGAAACAATAAGCATATTCTGGATCATCTCATTACCAAGAACAATTTCAGTGACCACATGTGTAGTTGTGTTATTTGTATTTTGGTGCTTATTGTCAGTGACACTGGCATAAGTGGTAAAACTACATTTGAGAGGATAGTGAGAAAATGCTAGAGATAACCTAATAAATTATGCTTTGAAGCTAAAAGAGAATTACCAAATTATGTCATAATATCATGCCAAACAATTATTTCCCTGTGGTTCTGAGAGAAAAAAGTGGTGAGAAAATTGAACCTTCACACAACAGACGGTAAAGGCATGTTGACTTCATAAGAGCATGTGCAGAAGCAGCCAATACCACATTTGCACTACAAGCAGCAGTTTCATCAAAACAGAATTATTTATAATAGTAAATGTTTTTTGAATGACTTTTTAAATTTATATATTTATTTTTGTTTAAGATTATTTAACTACTATGAGCCTAAAGAATGTCTTCCTAGTTACGTCTTTGAACATTCTTAATAAGAATAATTTAAACCCATAATGGAGGGTCATAACTCTTTAAAAAATTTTTTCTATTAAAAGAATTGGTTTGAGAAATACTATATAGTCTATCATGAAGAACTGATTGTGGGCCAGTGGAGTTAAGCTCCACCAAGCTTGCCCAGTCACCTCAAGTCAAGATGGAGAAGTTATGAACAAGAAGTCGTACCCTGGCGAACTGTGGAAGACTATGGTGGGCCTTTATGATGAGTACCACAGTTAGTGGTGTCTTTCAAGCAATTAAAAGTTTTTGCCATTCTCCAGTGGGAGTAAACCAGAGACTACAAGGGAGTGTGACAGCTACTAAAACCAGGCCTCCACAGCTGGGAGGTAGCTTTGTAGGTTGAGGAGGTCTGTTTTCCATGATTGACTGCAGTATGGTTCAAGTTAGAGGGAAAGAAGATCCCAGGAATTCCATCACGAGTGCTGCCTTAACAGGAGCCACACTTGCAAGCAAGAAATGGACCAGTGGCCATGGCTATTCGGTCAGTTGTGACAGTTTCCTAGCTTTAACTGAAGGAGATGGCATCTTGTTGATAAGATTTGCCTTTGTGCAGTTTCCCAATGGTCTTTAATTTGCTGAAGACCCCTCCCAGTTGTCTTCAACCCAGTTACCACCCTCACCTTTTGGAGAATATGGACATCGATAGGACTTCTTTCCCAAGATTCTTTAACAGAATGAACTATAGTTCAAGAAGGATTTTGGAACAACAAGATACAGTCTGTTTTTAAATCATAGAACAACTATGGTCAAATAGACTATGAAGAGACATTCGGCACTTTTTTCTATTTAAAGGAACATGGGGGAGGGAAGATGAGATATAAAAACACATTTACTTATTCGCACTTGGATTGTATTCGTGATCAAAATAAATGTCTAACAGCATTAAAAGAAAATATAACAAGTGCTTAGAAGATAAAGGACCAAAGGGCAAATAATAGTGAAACATGACCATCATTTCCTTTGGGATTTCTCTGCCTGGTTTTTTGTGTTCTATTATTCAAATGAAAAACTTCTTGGGAGGAAAAAAAGAATAGATTATGAAAGAAGACTACATCAGCTCTTAAGAGAGTATGAACAGGAAGATCAGTGGTGACTAGAATATTCTAGGAGGCTCATTTTTCTAAAAGACAGTATAACATAATGGTTAAGAGAAACTTCTGGAGTCAGGCAACATGGATTTGAATCTTGACTCTAAAGCCAAGCAACTTCTCTGAGCCTTGGTGTCCTTGCCTGTAAAGTGGGAATAAAATAGTACCTACCTCACAGGGTCGTTGAGAGTAAATAAGTCAATGGATTTTTAAGGCATTCAGAAGAGTGCGTGGCACATAATAAGTACTAAATAAACACTAGCTGGTATTTTACTTTATCTATGTATGTGTTTCTCTCTCATCAGGTTTTCTTAAACTCCTAGATAGCTGGGACCACAGCTGATTCACTTGTGAATCCTAGACAGTTGCCTCATGATCACATATTCAGTGCTTGACATTTCATGGGCAATGGATCTTGAGCTAGACAATACTTTTTGAAAGAAAAGTAGGTCTTAGTATTTTAGTAGGAGGACTTTTAAAAGGATATGTCAAAGATAACTGGAGGGATAATGTCTCTGCATGCCTGACACTGACAGTGATGGGGTTGTTGGAAATAAATATTCGTTTATTCATTTGTAAACATTTACTCGCACATTTCCTATGTGCCAGACAGATGACTAAGGCCAGAAGGATGAAAAAGATTCAGGTAGCTGAGTTGCTCATAGGTTACTGGATGCAGCATATAGGTTAACAAATTACCCAATGGTGCTGATGAGAGCTAAGTATGTGTTGAGGTGATTCTGGGACACTCGAAGTAGAACTGCCCGGTAGGCAGCTGAACGTACAGAGACACAAGAGTCTGAGTGGAATAAATTTGAGAGTTATCAGCATGAAGTAGACAACTGGTGCTAGAGGAATGAAGGAGCTCTCAGAGAGAGAGAGAATAAAAGGAGAAGAACCGTAAGCCTTGGGAGCATAAGCAGTTGTGAAAGAAAAGAGGCTAAGTTAATGAAGAGAAAAGATAATATGAAGAAATAGGAGGACAACGAACCTGTAAGCAAAGCAGCAAAACATTTCCAGGGAAGGGCAACTGGGTCAAATACAAAATAAAGGATATGAAAAACAAAGACAAATACTTCTATAAAGTAGTACTTTCATGGCTCTGTCTAGTCTTAAAAGGATTCAACTAATATCAGTCCTACTCAGACCCTCTAGTAAGAGAACATATTGTATAGCTGAGATCCAGGGCCACTGGTTCCTGGTTCCACCACTAACCAGCTAAGTAACTGTGCACGTCCATATCCTCATGTCTGAAATGGATCTAGTAACTACTGTTTCTCATTGTTACTCTGACTTTTTAAATGAGAAAATATTTAGAATAAAAGCCAAACAAAAGTGAAGTGATCTATATATATTTTGTTGTTGCTATCATTAAGGATATAGATCAAGTTCTCAATCAAGGCTGTCCATTAGGATCTTAAAATATATCCTTGACCCACACACTGCCTGCTATTCTCAGGGAATCTGCTTGGGTGGGAATCACTCTCATCTTTGTTTAATCTTCCAAGAACATGAGAAATACTAGTATAGACCACTATCTAGAAAACATAATTTGCTAACATTATCAGTAAATACTAAAACAACACTCTATTGCAGAGAGAGACCTGAAGATCCAGGATGAGTATTAAGGTTTTTATTTGTTTTGAGAGATGTATTTCAATTATAGAAATGATTATCTGAACCACAGAAGTGAATTGTTAGATAGTAAAAGGTTTTTATTGGTATTTTATAGGATAAATTAAAAGCCTGACACTGTGCAAAGAACTATACAAAGCAGTCAGACCGACAAGCAGATCATCTAAATACATCTGCAACTATAGACAAAAAAAAGGATCTACATGCTGACCTTTGTGTTTTATAACGTTAGAGGATATGTGAGGGGGCAAAAAAAAATCAAAAGAAAATAAAATCACCTTCTTCCCATTTGCAACAGATAAGCAGGCATGAAGGTCAGCAACAGGGTAAACGCTTAACTCCCAGCTCTGAGGCTGTTCATCAAAACTCCGACCTCATTAATTAGACTCTGTAAAGCCCAAATTTCTGGCACATCGGGCATTTGAATATGTGTAATGCTTCACTGAATAAAAATTTCAAAATAATTTTTACTTTTGGTTAGTTGGAAAGTGAACTTTTATGACTGATGGGTATTCAGTCTAAAATTGAGTATCTGTTTTAAAATCAAGGGTTCACAAAGTCTAAAACTTTACATATAACAATGTATATTCACCTTATAAGCTGCCCAGGAATTAATTTGAATGTTTGAAATTTATTGACATTAAATTATAATGTAAAATATATAATTTATATAATGTATATTAAAGTATTTAATGTATGTCTATGGTAAAAAAAAGAATTTCATTTTCATATCTCATTTTACGTATTAACGTCCTAAAAATATTTTAAAATTCTAAAACTGCATTTATTTTAAAACGTTTCAAATTTCATACTTAAGTCAGAATGGCATTCTCCCCAATTCATTAACCTGAAAAAATGTGCTTGTTATCCTGCCTAAGTTTCATAATGCCATCTCCATGAATTGAAGCTAAGTCTCACATGTACACACATACAACCTTGAATGTCACAAATCCTCCTGTCATGAAATTATTAAGGAAAAGCTCTCTATATTCGATGGGGGATACACTCCACACACTACCTTGGAGACTTGCACACAAGGATATAAACAAGGGCAATGATAGTACAGATTCCTAATTGTATTCCATCTGTAGTTTTTATTCAATTGATTTAAGAATGTACTGCATATTTTATGCTTTTTATTTTCCTCAGAGTCCATTTACTCCCACTTCCTTTTATGAGATGGGTAGGGTAATTATTATCTGCTACTCCTATCCTATATTATAAAAGAGGAAACTGAAGTAGAATAAAATCAGCAACAGGTGGGACTGTCCACAGTCACACAGCTTTTACTGACAGCCACATCATTCTCCTCGTTCAATGACCCCTTGAAGTGACCCTTTGAAAATACAAAAATAAGAACAGAGGCCTTGACACATACTGAGGGGCAATCATCCTCAGTCATGGTTATTTGTCAATCATCTACCATGAACATGGCCTATACTAAGTGCTTTACATGTTATCTCATTTGATCCTCAACAAACCTGGGTATTCTCACTCTCCTGGGTCTACTGAGTTAACCAAGGCTCCAAAACTTGCAGTTACATGGCTAGGCTAGTACATGCAAAGCCAGTCCCCAAAACCAGGTCAGTCTGACTCCAAAACCCATGCTCTTAAGCATCAATTCTGCAACAACTGGATAAATCACCTCTGGGCCAGTTCTTTAGTTCCCTACATGCCGAGGCACCCCCAGCCCAAACTGCCCCACTGCACCCTCAGCTCCTGGCTTACTTGACAGCCCCGACATCCTCCGCATAGCGCTGCATCTCTTCCCGGGCCCTCTCCTCCCGCAGCTCCCGCTGAAGCTCCTCAATCTTCTTCCGCTCAGCCTCATGTTTCTGCTCAGCCTTCCACACTTTCTCCACATTGCGGAGGGTCTGCGGGTGCCAGCTCTTCTTCAGATTCTGTGGTAAATGAAAGGAAAGAGAAAACATATCAGGGAGTGTGTGGGTGGTGAGTAAAATTGGCCCTGCCCCACCCACCCCTCTATACTCTATTCATGCTAAGGCGGGCATGTGTAAGGGCAAGAGGTCTATAACAAAGACAAGGTTGGCACTCAGTACTCTCTCATACATCAGGGTTGAGGGTGTTGTTCAAGTACACAAAGGTTCAGGACAGAATGGGCCCTTCCTGGATTCCCTTCAAATACCTTTAGCCTGAAATGCATATGAGTCTGACTTCCATTGACCATGCCTGAAGTGAGGGTTGATGATGACAATATAGGAGCAATAGGGCAGGAAAGTTGGAAAGCATAGACTCTGAAAGGCAACAGAACTCAAATGCCTTTGGCACTGAACATTCATTCTTACGAACACATCCTTCTTTTCCTTAACCTGCCTTAAACTCGCATGGTTTACAACCCCACCTAGTACTTCTTTCAACTTTCCTTCCCAGGAATCTCTCCTTGGTTCTGACTTCCCTATCACCCTCAAGGAATGCTTCTCCTCCCCCTCCTCCCCATGA